TAACCAAAGCTAGTTTATTCTGCAGTTAGCTTTGCTTGGTTTTTATTAACAGGGTTTTTTGTTCTTTTTCTTTCTTTTTAAGTTAGCTTAGTTGTTAACTTGATTTTTTCTCTTGGTTTCCCTTTTGTGTGTTCCAGCAGAGATGTTGGCTCACTTGTAGGAATTGTTTGAAGCCAGAGTCATGGTGGATGTAGGAAAGTGGCCCATCTTCACTCTGCTCTCACCTCAGGAAGTTGCATCTATTCGGAAAGCATGTGTCTTCGGCACCTCAGCCAACGAAGCACTGTACGTTACAGACAGCGACGAGGTAAGACTCTGAACACCTAGAGTTAGTTTTACTGCTTTTTTGGGGGGTTAGACTTCAAAGCTTGTACTCTGAAGACTGAGAAAAAGTGAAGAATAAATTCAGGAAGATTGTGCCTTTGATATAGCTTCTCTCTTTCCAGTTTCAGTTTAAAGCCCCGCCACCCCATACTACTCTCTGAGTTTCAGAGAATGTACCATGTATTCTGAAACTTAAGGAATATCAGCAGTGGTTGAACTTACCAACCTTATTAGTCCCTTCTTCCTACTGAGCTACCAAAACACTTAAGTGTGTTTTATTTTCAGAGCAGAGAAGGAAGCCTTTAATATAGCTTTATCTAAATGACTCAGGCAACACTATTTGTTTTCTAGGTCTTTGTCTTTGGACTGAACTATAGTAACTGTCTAGGAACTGGAGATAACCAGAGTACACTTGTACCCAAAAAGCTAGAAGCCTTATGTGGAAAGAAGATTAAAAGCCTTAGTTATGGGAGTGGGCCACATGTTCTTCTCAGCACTGAAGGTAAAGGGGGAACGTATCTAGCTGATAAGCTGCCGTGAAACCGAACAGTTAATTGTAAAGGAGGGTTGTATCAAATAATTATAGATTGTTTTTCTTAATTTCTGAGGACAGTACACAAAGCAGATAAAAGTTAGACACTTCAGGCTACTCCGGAACAGCCATGGGAGTTCTTGCAAGTTGGGCAAACTTCTGAGGTTTTTGACTAATTACGTAAAGTTGTGGAAGATTAGAGATAGCAAACAAAATGGTCCTTCCAACCTAATTTTCAGTGGATTTATGATTGCAAGGCAACTTTCACGGTTCCTTTGGTACATCTTTATAAACTCAAATAAAACTGACTTTCCTCTTGCATAGTTCCTGACTCTTGAATCAAATTTTAGTTTATCCCTTGCCATTCATATGGGTGCCATAGGAAAGAATGGGGGCCACAGTGGGCAGACTCTTGTCCTTTTTCCTCTGCCTCCCCAGGATCACTGCAGAAGATTAGACATTTCTCTTTGGTAAATATCTGCCCTGTGGGCACCTGGCAGTCCCCGAAAGTTTGTTTTAAATAACCTGAATTATTCCTCTCTTACGCCAGGCACCTTGTTCTCTTTCACAGAGGCCCTCAGCTTTCTGTGAGGTAATCTCTTAGGGTGGCATTTGAGAGGCGGTTTGCATCCCCGTTTTTCTGTGTCTGGACTGGGGAAGCACAGCTTCCTTGCTGGCTGTTATTGGTCTTAGAATGTGGCTTTGTGGTTGCCCACATCTCATATCTGAATCGCTCCAGGTTGTCTGCATTTGTCTCCAGCCGAGAGATCCAGATCTGAGCATGACCAGCGACTAAGAGTAACTGGTGTTGAGCATAATGAGGTGATTATCTCCCTTCTGCTTTGTGTAGTCATGCTTCCGGCAGTCACACTGGCCCTTTCAGACACTGACTGTGTCACTGACTGTTCAGCTCCTCATCTGCTGCGACCTTGGGTTTTAGCTTTTTCTGACACATAGCAGTTTTAACTAGTCATTGATTTCTAACCATAAAATACTGAGGCAGTCTTTGATTTTTTTTTCCCAGAGCAAACATACTAAACAATATATATTCAAATTCTTGGTTTTCTTCAAAGTAATGATCTTACAAAGCTAGAACTCTTCTTGTAAGACTTATTTTCAGAATCCAGATCATACCATTTTAAATACCTTGAGTATTACATTTAAAATATAAATAAGTGGCTTTGCAGTGTGAATATTTTTCTTTTTATTTTAATTCAATTTTGATTTTTTTCTTTTGTTGGCAAAGGGCACATGCACTTGCCAGAAAGAGAAACATGGTAGGGTGTGGTCATACCACAATCCTTTTTCCTCCATTTCTTTATTCTGTCAGGATTTGGGGCACACACATAGATGCACCTGGCATGTTTCTCAAGTTGCCAGGATGGGATTCGAACCACAGCAGGCCATGTGGGTTCTAGCTCCCTATGCATAGTACTTAACTACTGTGCTATAGGACTGGTCCTTCACTTTTGATTTTTTAAAAATAATTATTTATTTTATTTATCATACTTTTAAATTTGCTACCGGGCACATGTACTCACCAGAAAGCAAGCCACCAGATCTGGGACTCAAACTGTGGTCAGCCATGCTACACAGCATACATTAAACATATTGTATATTATTATATGTATGTATAATATATCCATGTGTGTTATCTATGTATTACAGTCAAATAGTTGTAAAACAATTTAATACTCTGAATCATCAAATAGTATAAGGTTTTTAGTGGAAAATAGAAGTGTCTCCCCTTTTTAAAAAATAATTATGTATTCTATTTATTATTATTATTTTTTTTAAAGTTTGACCAGAGAGAGACAAAGAGAAAGGGAAAGTGAGAAAGCTAGCCACTAGGTCCAGGACTTAAACCGTGGTCGAGCATGTAGGAGTCCACCGCCTTAACCATTACGCCACCTTCTGGCATAGTGCCTCCCATCTTAGTAACTGCTCTTCAGAAGGAACCCCTTTTAACTGTTTCAGATGTTTCTTTTGGTATCGAATCTCATATTTTACAAAGTACTGCTATTCTGAATTCAACTTTAGTTGTTATCCTTTGACTTTCTGTAATGAAAATAAGTTTAACTTTCTTTTCCCTACTTTGCATTCCCTTATCCTTTCGGTGTCACCATTTTGCATTCAGTGTTTACATGGTCAAGACTTTGTAAATGTTCCTGATGGCTGAGCCACTGCTTATTTTCCTGGGTTTCACTGTAGCCTCACTTTTTTCTCATTTGCTTACTCCTCTGCACATCTGTGAACGTATGCCCCATCTCTTGTACAGACCAGCACACCACGTGCATCAGGGAGTCCGTGGAGCCAGCCCTCTGCTCCCTGCTCAATCGGATCACTCTCTAGGCCTGCTGCATAGCTGCCAGCCTAGAACTTGGCTTTCACCACTGTCCATGTATACACAGTCTTTTCTGGATCCCCTTTTTTTGTGTCCTGTGTCGTTCTTCATTATATCTTCATTTGTGTCAAACACATTCTCTAGTAGCTTCCCAAGGAAGGGGATGTGTGAGAAATCTTTGAGACCCCATTTTAAAATGTCTTTGTCTTGGTTCTACTTTGCTTGCTAATGTTTACCCGTGGTTTGGCTGGGCTTAGAATGCCAGAGTGGGAATCCTATTTCCTCACTTTTGGAATCATTGCACCTTTTTGGCTTCAGGGTAAATATTGAGATTTTTATGCCATTTAGATTTTCACTATTTTGTGTATGGCCGTTTTTTTTTCCTTTTTGAAAGTTTTAAGTATCTTTTTCTTGTTTCAAGTGTTTTGAGATAATCATGACTGTACCCTGGTGTGGGTAATTTTTAATTTATTGTGTTGGACATCTGTAGACCCCTCAGTCTAGAAATGCCTTATTTTTAAGAGAGTTTTCTTATAATATTTCATAGATAATTTCCCTTCTTTGCTTTCTCCTTTTGGAAATTTTTCTAAGAGGGAAGTTAGAGATTATGGGCTGATCTTCCTTATTTTCTTGTCTTTTCTCCTATCCACGTCCTAAGAAATTTCATCTTTATCTTACAATGCTAATGTAAAATCCTAGCATTTTTGCTGGTGTGTTTCCAAGTGCTCTTTTTTTTGTTCTCTTAAGTGTTCCTTTCTAGAGCTTCCTGCTATTGTTTCATGAACTCGGTATCTTCTCTTCGAGGCTTGTTAAAATTGTGGGTTATTTTTATGTTGTCTTCTGTTCTCTGCATTGTTTCTTCTTTACCTCCCAAACTTCTTGTTTCTTTTTGTTTTGATCTCTTAGAGGTGGTGATCCTTGGCTGGCTGTCACATGTAAGAGCAAGGCCCTAATACACGTTTAGGGAGTTCTATGTTCATGGTGGGGCTGGTCAGGTACTGAGCTTCGCTTTAGAGAGATAGTGTGTTTCATTAGGGGCACTCCCAATGTCTGCATGTGAATTTTTGTAAAGGAGAAATCTAGTTTCCTGAACCAGGAATATAAAGTTGTTTTTATTTTTTGGAGTGGTGTTTGCTATAGGGCATGTGTGCTTGCCAGAAAGACAGAGACAGAAGGTGAGAAATCACCCCCCCCCGGGGGGATGGCCACGCCACAGTCCCTTCTCCTCCATTCTCCTCTTGGGATCGTTGGCACACACACACATGTGCCTGGTGTCAGTTTAAGCCACTGGGTCTGGGACTCGAACTGTAGTCAACTACATGGGAGTCTGGCGACATAGCCATTATGCCAACTGCTGGTCCCAGGAATATAAAGGTTTTTAAAATTTTTTTTGGCCAGGTTTCAAAGCCAAAAAAAAGGAAGAGCAAAGATTGCAATAATCAGTATGTGAACTTACAGTTCTTTTCTCACTGCAATGTTTCGTTGCTGCCTTCAGGGCCTTTCTGGATTATTTTCTCATGTTACGTGGCAGAAGGGGAGGAAGGCATTTAGATAAAGGGAGAAGTTGGGCTGTGCAGTTAAAACAAGAAATTGACAGCAAACAAATGCTGCAGGGCTTTTTTTTTTTTTTTTTTTTTTTTTTTTTGGCGTAAGTTGCTTGCCTACCTGGAGAGACAGAGAGGAAAGTGAGAAATCAGGTGGATGGCCACACTGCACTCCCTTCTCCATTCTTCTCTTGAGATTGTGGGCATGCCTGCACACATGCTTGATGTGATTTCCCTTTCTTTCTTTCTTTTTTTAAAGAGAGATTTTTGCTATAGGGCCTATGCACTCACCAGAGAGGCAGAAAACGAGAAATCAACCCCCAGATCACCCCCATTCTCCTCTCAGGATCTTGGGCATGCACACACATGTGTGAGTTTAAGCCTCCTGGTCTAGGTCTCAAACTGCAGTTGACTATGTGGGAGTTCAGCAATGTAACCATTATTCCACCTGCTGGTCCCAACCTGATGTGATTTTTCAAGCCACCAGATCCAGGACTCAAACCATGGTCAACCAAGGCAGCAATGAAACACTGCAGTGAGAAAAGAACTGTAAGTTCACATACTGATTATTGCAATCTCTGCTCTTCCTTTTTTTGACTTAAAAACCTGGCCAAAACAACAAACAAACAAACAAACAAAAAATCTTTATATTCCTGGGACCAGCAGTTGGAATAATGGCTATGTTGCTGGACTCCCATGTGGTCGACTGTGGTTCGAGTCCTGGACCTGGTGGCTTTAACTCTCACTGGGTGCATGTGCATGTGTGCCCCAGGGAATCATGAGGGAATCCCGTGCCTTAGTCACCACACTACCTGTTGGCTCAGTGAGGGCTTTTACCAGATTGAGGAGGAGTCGCTGCTTGACCATGTGGAAGGAGATAAGCATTCTGGTCTCACTGTTTCTGTTTTAAGCTGTGCCCTGTGGCCCTGGTCCTTCAGATCTCTGGACCGCCCAGGGACGCTGGGGCTGAGAGTTGATTTCCATGGCAGCTGCCCCTTTCTGTTTCCCATCACTGTTGAGCAAGTGTGTATGAGAAGACTCCCAGATCTCACTTGGGTGCCCCTATCATACAACAGCAGTCCTGCTTCTTCCTGCCAGTCAGGTCAGTCGTCCCACCAGGAAGGTGACTCCTCTTCTTTTCTGTTGGCTTTTGGCTAGACGAACAAGAGTTGCTTTGGCAGCCACAGCTTTAAGTTCAGTGGGACTCTGTGTCCCTTAGGGGAAGCATTCCCACTTTGGGAACCAGAACCTTTAAACCTATGGAGTTTAGAGTTGCAAGGACAGGAGAGTCAAATTCCCCAAGTTGGTCACTGGCAGCAAAGGCACTCATGGTTCCTGGACCCATGTATCCTACCTCTTTGAGACGCAGCACTGTCTAGTGGTCATTTATTAAGAGTTTAGGATGACATACCATCCTGGTGAGGTATCATGTGCAGGGAGATGCCTCAGCTGTGCCTTGGGGCCTGTTGCTCTCCACCCTCAGGGGTTGGTCCTGTGAAGGAAAAAGTTAGAAAAAGGAGAAAGATGCAGAAGCAGGGATGCAGGTGAACACAGACAAGCTATACTGCTCAGTCATGCTGAGCTTCTTTATTTATACATAGCAGGCAGAGGGAACGGTTTGCAAGCTTCCGAAGATGCAGTTGAAGTTCTACAGTTAGAGATAAGGACTTTAGTACAGATGTTTGTCTTCTTTCTTTCTTTCTTTTTCTTTTTTTCTTTCTTTCTTTTTTTTTTTTTTTTTTTTTGAGAGGTTTTTGCTATAGGGGGTGTGCATTTGCCAGAAAGACAGAGAGAGAGAGAGGGGGCAATAAATCCCAGGGGGGATGGCCATGCCACAATCCCTTCTCCTCCATTCTCCTTTTGGGATCTTGGGCACACATGCACACGCACCTGGTGTGAGTTTAAGCCACCAGGTCCGGGACTCGAACCCTAGTTAACTACATGGGATTCCAGCGACATAGCCATTACGCCAACTGCTGGTGTCAGTGTAGATGTTTTTCAAGCTCGTTACTATCATATGTGATCCTGTTATATGTCATAGGTCAAGCCAGTTTACTTATGCTGTTCCTCTGTAACTTTGAGGAAGGCTGTCTTAGTATGCATCAAAGAGGATAATGTATAAGGCATAAACATTTTATAGAACAGGGATGGCATGACCTAGCCAGGGTCAGGATGTTTCCCATGCCTCACAGATATTTTCGCAGAGCCCTTAGCATCTAAGGCATGTGTCAGCTGGCTCAAGTAAGTAATTAACAAGGCATGCAGATAACTGCTTCATACTGCCAGGCTGCACACCCTCATAAGACCTGCCCATCCATTGCACCTTCCAGTAGCGGCTTTTGGGTGTAGCAGTCTTTGATAGGACCAGTAAACTCATGGGTGGCCTGCCACTGGTACACCTCTTTTGCTATGAAGGCATTTCCTTGGTTTGGTGTTTTGTGGATTCCTATGCCAAGTCATTAAATATTCTATAAGCCCTCAGGTAGTAGTACTGGCTGAAGCCTTGTGGGCAGGAAATCTATACCTGGATCATGTGCTGATTTCTGTCAGTAGGTTTGGCTGCCCCTTCCAGGCTCTGATTAGTCCATAAACATCTACTTGCCACCAAACGGCCAGTAGGTCTCTGAGGGGTGTGTTATGTTGGGGGCTGTGCATTAGTCTCTTCCTCACTTAGTGGATGTTTGGCCATGTTAGGAACTAGGTCAGCTTTGGCAAGTAGGAACCTGACATCTGTCATGTTTAGATGTCATTTGTATTTTTCTTAAGAGTGGGGTTGAGCGATTTTTTATATGGTAAAGAGCCATTATATTACTTTTCCTGTGAACTGCCAATTCATATTTCTATGGAGTTCTTGAATATTTTTCTTGCATATTTTTAGGAGTTCTTTTTACATTTGGGATAGTATCTTGTATTGACATAAATTAGAAAGATTTTTTTTTCTCAGTATCTTAATTATTCCTTGCATGTGGAGTTTTTTTTCATGTGAAAGGTCATTTTTCCCCTAAATATAACCAGATTCGGGCTAGCTTTGTAATGCAGTGGTTAAGTGTTGTGTAAAGGAGATAGATCCCACATGGCCAGTGCTTTGAATTTTGGCCCTAGCAACTTGAAAAACATGCCAGGCATGTGTGTGTGTATGCATTGCCCAAATTCTGACAGGGTGGAGAAATGGAGAAAGAATTGCAGTGTGACTATTTCCCACTGGGAGGTTCTGTCTATCTCTCTTGGCTCCATCCCCCTAGCAAGCACATGCACCCCCTGGCAGTTACACACACACACACACACACACACACACACACAAAACCAGATTCATTCATTCATTCTTCTTCTGGGATTTTGAGTCAGTAAAGTTTTCTCTACTCACAGGTTATACAGGAATTCACTAATATTTTCCTTCTAGTTCCTATATGATTTTTTACATTGAAATGTCTTAATTCATTGAAAAGTTACCATGGTGTATAGTATGAAGAAAGAATCTAATTTCCAATGAGATTGTCCCCAGATGATGTAGCTTTTATTTTCATATGTAGTTACTTCAGTTCTACACTTTCAGTTCCATTCCATTGGTTGATCTGTCTGTTCATGCCCTAATATTAATTTTAGTTTAGAAACTCTGTCTTATTTTTAAGGGAGTTTTCCTAATTATTCTTATTTGACCTTTTAATTTTTTTTCAAGTTTCTTTTCTTTCTTCTCTCTCTCTCTCTTGCTCACTCAGGAAATAGAGAGACAGTCACCCTCAACAGGGTCCTCAGACAGCAGTCTGCCCGGGTGGGCCTCAGCCAGCCCTGGGTCATGGGCATGCACTTATCTGGATGTGTAGGGAGATGTACGGATGTGACTCCGGAACCCACCCACATGAGTCAGCCTCTGAGATTTGTATTACAGCTGCACCACTGTCTAGCTCCCTTCCTGGTGAACTTTCTAACTTTCTAACTCTAGAAAGCAACTGGAAGCATTTTATTGCTATTGTTTTAAATTTATGAATTTATGTGGGAAAAACTAGTATCTTTATGATACTGAGTTTTTCTAAGAAAAGATATGTATTTCTCTGTTCAAGTCTACTTTCTGTCTTTCAGAAGTTAAAATACTCACAGGTTTGGTTATTTCTTTCACCTGATAACTTGAACGTAAAAGTGTGGATCTTTTCTTTAGGTTTTATATTTTTTCTTTAATTCAGTCTTGAGCCTTCATCCTTTTTAGAAGGAAATTTTCGTTTTATGGTTTCTGTCTTAGTTTCTGTAATAGGGACACACACGGCCTTTCTCTAGATCTGTCTTATACTTGGAGGAGGATTCTAAGTTTCTGTGGACTGCCGTTATTCTAGAGAACCAGAGTTCTGTTTCCCTGGTAGGTGAGAGGTTGTTGTCAGTAAGCTAGTAGTAGCCTGACCATGGACTTGGATTTCTGCTGTGTTCTTGGGACATTGCTATTGCCAGGCTCAGCTTGGCCTTAGTGGGTCAGGGTATTTTATTAGCATGAGAAAGACAAGAGCATAACTAGGGATGACCCGCTCTTGATACCCGGTACTGTGGGAAGAAGTGCATGAAAACTTCCAGAAAACACAAAACAGAAAAGTCATATGGATGAAGTCATTTAAAAAAAAAATTCAGCAAGAAGAACTCTGAGTTAATGAACATATCAGTGTGCTGGGAGGGTGGAAGCTCCGTCCATCCCCATGTAACTCTGTGCCCTTCTCCATGCCTTGCCCAGTGCATCTGTTTAATTTGGCTGTTGCTGAGCTGTGTCCTTCATAATAAGCCAATTACATTTTCTAAAGATAGCCACAACATTGTGAGCAAAGATGCCTTCAGATAATGCCAGCCTCCCCAGCCCTGGCCTTCGAGTTGTCCCCAACCTTTGACTCTTCCTGAGATCACACATGTCATGAAGCAAAGACAAGCATTTTCCCCTGGGCAGATTCCTGACACACAGAATAAATGAGCATACTAAAATGGTTGCTTTATGCTAACAGCAGTAACAAAAAACTGCCAGATTTCATGCCACTAAGGTAATCTGCTTGAGCGAGGCTCTGTGGTTGTTGCCCTTGCAAACAGTAGACCTCTTTCCTCTGTGCTCTGTGAGCAGGTGAGACACACATGCTCCAAGGGTTCCCTGAGACCTGGCACTTGGTGAAGTGATGGTAAACATCAGTGCTGGGCTTTCCTATGTCTTCTGCCTTTTGATCGGTACCTGGCACAGACGACTGAGATGAATCAAAGTGTTTAGAAAGTCTAATTTTTGTATATATAAACTTTGACTCAGACTACATAGCTGAGTGTAGTACCGAGTCCTTCTGTTGAAGGACTGTCCTATTCTCACCTCCGTCCCTTCCTCTCTCTTTCCTGCCCGCCATTGGTAGTTACTCTATAGAGAGGAGAGTACAATGGGACAGAAATAACAGTTGAAGTTATACAAAGTTTTAGGGAAGAAAGTACCAGGGTTGCCATTTCTTTTAGTTGATTCTTGTATGCCTCATGTGTAGATGGAGTGGTCTACGCCTGGGGCCACAATGGGTATAGCCAGCTTGGGAATGGGACGACCAACCAAGGCATTGCTCCCATCCAAGTCTGTACCAATCTGTTGATCAAGCAAGTGGTCGAAGTGGCTTGTGGCTCACATCACTCAATGGCTCTGGCAGCTGATGGAGAGGTAAGTTTGCCACTTTCATTTTTTTAAATTATTGTAAAATACACATAAAGTTTACCATTTTAACACTTTTTTTTAAAAGAGAGTCTTTTTTCTATAATGCATGTGAGCTTTCCAGAGACACATGGAGAGACAGAAAGTGAAAATCACCCCAGGGGGAATGGCCACACTGCAGTTCTTTCTCCATTCTCCTTTTGAGATTTTGGGCATGCATATACATGTACCCAGCATGAGTTTCAAGCCCCCAGGTCCAGGACTTGAACTGCGGTCAGCCATGTGGGAGTCCAGTGCCTTAACCAGTATGCCACCTGCTGGACCCAAATTTAACCAGTTTTAAGTGCAGCGGCACAGAGTACATTTACATTGATGTGCACCTGTCACCACCATCCATGTCCAGAACTCTTTGATCTTGTAACGCTGAAACTCTGTACAAAGTAAACATTAACATCCATCCTCTCCTCCCCCAAATTTGGTAGTCATTATTCTGTCTCTATAATTTAAACTGTTTTGTATTCCTTATATAAGTAGAGCCCCATGTAGTGTTTGTCCTTTAATTACTGACTAATATCTCTTAACGTTGCTAAGGTTCATTGGCATTGTAGTACCTGAGAGGATTTCTTTCCTTTTTAAAGCTGAATAATATTCCATCGTGTGTACATACTTCATTTTGTCTGTGTATTCATCATAGATGGACAGCTGGATTGCTTCCACTTTTTAGCCATTGTGGAAGTCTCCCATTTTTGTATAAGTAAAACAATGGCCACATTTGGACTTAATAGTGTGAACATAGTAGCCCTATATGTACCCAAACACATTGTGGAACATACTCTTTCTCTGTTATAATCTGAGTTATATAATCAGGTATACTCGATCTTTTTTTATTTTTAATGAGAGGTTTCTTTGCCATAGGGCACTTGCGCTTGCCAGAAAGACAAAGAGAGACAGAAAGCGAGAAATCACTCCCTGGGCGGATGGCCACTCCGCAATCCCTTCTCCTCCATTCTCCTCTCGGGATCTTGGGCATGCACGCACACATGCCCAGCATGAGTTTAAGCCACTGGGTCTGGGGCTTGAACTGCGGTTGACTACTTGGGGGTCCAGTAACATAGCCATTACGCTAACTGCTGGTCCCCAGTCTTATTTTTATTTAGAATTATTTTTATTTAACTTTATTTATTCATTTATTTATTTATTTTAATTTGACCAGAGAGGGACAGCATGCATGAGAGAGAGACAGAGAGAGCGTGCACGACAGTGAGAGGGAAAGTGAGAAAGCAAGCTGCTAGGTCCACGACTTGAATCGTGGTTAACCATGTGGGAGTCCAGTGCCCATAACCACCACACCACCTGCTGGCCCCCAGATTTTAATCTTTTTTTTATTTTTTAATTTATTTTTTACTTTTAATCTTTTAGATTTTTTTCTTTTTCCTTTTTTTATTTCAATTTATTTATTTGCGTTCATTCACTGTACATCATTACAGCATACAAAATGAGATTTTCCATCCAGAGTACACTGTATATTGTCTCAATCAAGCACATCAACATACATGTTATTGTCAGCAAATAATTTTCCATTTCTTGTTTTCTGTATGTTTTGCTTCCCCCCCCCCATCCTTGGTTCCCTATCTCTTACCCTCTGCCATCTCCCACTCTCCTCCCACACTGTCTCTGGTATCAATGTTTGCTTTCTATACTGTTTCCCCCCCACATTTTATTGAATTACTAAAGATCTTAATTAATCTAAATATTTTCATAGCAAATACAGCTGATATATA